GCAGTTTCCTAATTACTAATGAGGTTGGACAACTTTTTATATATCTATTGGCCATTTGTATGTCTTCTTGGGAGAGGTGTCTGTTCAGGTCCCCATTTTTAATTGGGTTGTTTGGTGTTCAATTTTATGAGATCTTTATATATTTTGGATATTAAACCTTGGAGCTATCATTGTTTGCAAACATCATCTCTCATTTGGTTGGCTGCCTCTTTGTTTCGTTGTCGGTTTCTTTTGCTGTGCAGAAGCTTTTTAGTTTGGTATAGTCCCATTCATTTATTTTTGCCTTTACTTTCCTTGCCTTTGGGGTCAAATTCACAAAATTGTTCTCTACAACCAAGGTCAGTAAGTTTAGTAACTACGTGTTCTTCTATGTAATTTATTGTTCCAGATCTTATATTTAGGTCTTAGCTCTATTTTGAATTAACTTTTGTACATGAGGTTAAACTGCAATCTAGTTTCATTTTTTTTGCATGTGGCTTTTTAATTTTCCCAGCAGCATTTATTGAAGAGGCTTTCTTTACTCCATTGTGTGTTTCTGGCTCATTTGTCAAAAAGTATCTATCCATATAGGTGTGGTTTTATATCTGGGCTCTCAATTCTGTTTCTTTGGTCTCTGTGTGTGTTTTTCTGCCAATACCATGCTGTTTTGATTACCACTGCTCTGTAGTATAATTAGAAGTCAGGTTGTGTGATACGTCTGGCTTCGTTCTTTTTCTTTTTTTTCCTCTCGGGATTGCTTTGGCTATTCAGGGTCTTTTGTGGTTCCATACAAATCTGATGATTTTTTTTGTCCTATTTCTTTAAAAAATGATATTGGGATTTTGATTGCATTAAATCTGTATATTGCTTTTGGGTAATATGGTCACTTTAACTATATTGATTCTTCCAATCCATGAAGGAAATGATTATGGGTATGTCTTAGTACAGTATACAACCAATGAAGTATTATCTCAATCCATGAGCATGTCATTCATTCAGTCATTTATTCAATAAACATTCATTGAGCATTTGCTATGTTACAGGTTCAGGATACTAGACTCTGGGGAATAACAAATAACTACTTTTTCTGCTCTGAACGGATTTAGGGGCTGAAAGAAATCTGTTAAAAATTATTTTTAATCTCAGTAACATATTTAGATGCTATCAAAACTACCCCAGCTATCCTTCTCAACACCCCACCTCCCCACCACACTGCTACTACCCCAAACTCCAAGCTGGGCCTGGCTTTTCGACGAAGTAGGGAGACCAAACAGACACAATAAAAGATGCAGTTTCATAGGTAGCTTCTGGAAGGCAGGCTTGATATTCGAAGCAGGCTATTTAAAACAGTAATTCTTATAAATAGGGGCTTTCACATTACTTACAATACGCACTTTTTACTTTTCTCCTCCTTCTTCCCCAAATGTATACTTTTCACTTCAAAAGGACAGCCTGTGTGCATAGACACAGGTTAAGTCTATCAGTGAACTAAGAATGAACAAGACAAATGCTTGCCTTCACAGAGCTTGCACTGTAAGAAGGTTAGGTCAGGGATGAGAATTCAAAATTGCCAACAGCACAGACCTGAGGTGCCTCTTCCCAGAGCGGTCAGGGTAACCAACTGGGGGCGTGACTGAAGGGCTGGCGCCAACATGAAGGAGGGGCCGTTCTGGATTTCCCAGAGGAACCAATGGCTGCCTAGGAGGCGGAGATTTTGACGCTGACTGGCATAGAAACCGACTAGTCAGAACCTAATCTGGGTGAACTGCGAAGGCAGAACCTAAGGTGGAGGCTGAGGAGTGGTTTTAAGGGCAACAGCTGTTTGGTGTAAGGTGTGAGAAAGCGGTTCAATTTTTTAATAACTGGTTTGGCAGTATAGTGCATATGACTGGCTATCAGTCCAGATACAGGGGTTATATATTTTTTATCTGCCAAGAGCATCTCCTCCTGCTGAAAAATGCCCCCCCCCCCATTTAAGCAATCCTATACTATATAATAAAAAGCTAATATGCTAATTAGACCAAACGGTGGAACAATGGTCTGGACTACTATCCGGATGAACTTCTGGACGAAGCCGGGGCTGCAAGGGCCGAGCCCCTAGCACGAATTTCGTGCATCAGGCCTGTAGTCATGCAATAATGTAAATGGAATAGGAGCGACTATTTACTTACAATTTTTTTTCTCTTAAGTGACAGTGTTTGGTCTGGGGGTTAATAAGGCCATAGGACTGTTATTCATGTTCAAAACCTAGCTCAGTGTCTGGCATATAATTAGGTAGTCAAGAATTGTTTAAGAATAAATGGTCACAAGCCTTTATTGCTTCCTTTGATCTTATGTGTAAAATCTCTGCAACCTTCTGACTCATTTAATAGAAAGTCTCATCCTGTTTTAGCAGCTTAATTTAAATTGATTTAGATATGTGCTTTACTGGGTTTCTTTGATAAGTTTTAAGACTTTACTTGCAGCTCTGATATTCAAGGCTTCTGTTTTTCTTTTCTTTCTTTCTTTCTTTTTTTTTAGTACAAAGTTTACAAGCTCCATGATTCTTGTATTTGACCCATTTCACAGTGTTCTTAGGTTTCAGGCAAAGTATATACGTAAGCTTTATGAACTCTAAAGCTCTGGACAATGTTTGTTACTACCCTTTTTTTCATTCAGTGTGAAAGAGTTGAGAACCTTCCAGATTTTGATCACAGTGTTTGCCATTATTACCTAGTCCTGTATCGCCCAAAGGACAAAAGGGCAGGAGCACAAAGGTAACTCCTGGGTGTGAATGAGATGATGCTCATTAAGCCAAAAGCAAAAGCAATGCAGACTTCAGAGTTCCTGAGGTCTAAGTGTGGGGCAGTTTCACAGAGAGACAGTCCTGGCCTTCTCCTATGGCTGCTCTGTGACCTAAGAAGACCACTGCCCGCTCCTTGGAGGAATAATTTCAGTGTGTATAAACGGTGTCAGAATGGTGTGTCTCAGAGGAAAAAAGCACGAGGTGCAAATATGAATGTTTTTGTTTCAAGAAAGTGTTGCTTCAGGTTGACTCTGCATTCCTCTATTAGTTAATTTTTGTGGTTGTAAGTAAGAGAAACTAGGCAAAAATCTGTGTGTGTGTGTGTGTGTGGGGGGGGACTTATTGTACAGAAATAACGGTGGCTCATAGAATCTGTGTGCAGGAATGTTTATGGGCCTTGGGAAGAGACCAGAGCCAGGAACTGGAAAGAAGCTGGGACTTGCTCCAAATCTGCTCCTTGTGCATGCCTGCTGTATTCTCTCTCTACTTCTCTGATCCTCATAGCAGTACCCTTAAACTATTTATATTAATGTATTTGTATTGTTAAAATATTTGTATTAATAACTCCTCATTACTGGAATTGTTCTTGAAGAGGCTGAATGACTATCATTTAAAACTGTGGTAGGAGGCTGTACTTATTGCGTTGGAGGATGGGAAGTTAGATCAGCTTTTATCTATGAGCTATTCTAAATGTAAGATATTATGATTTTACCAACTTAAGCTCTCATACACACAAGGATTGCCTTTTATGTTACTTTCTCACTGTCTGTTAATAACCCCTTTGGTCTCTTTGTCTTTCCTATATCCCAGTCTTTTATCTTTTATCTGGAGTTAATCATTAGATCTTATTGGGTCTTCCTCCCCAAATCCTCTCAAGAAATAATATTAGTTTTCCCCTAATAGCTGTAGAGTTGTAGAAAAGATAACAAAAACATGAGCTCTTTTCTTATGGTTAAACGTTAAGACAGAGTTGCATCAGGATTACAAGAATAGGCTTTGAAGTTCAACCTCCGTTCCAATCCTGTTCCTATCGCTGCTACCTGTGTCACCTTGGAAAAATAACTCTCTAGTGCTTTTTCTCCAACTACAAAGTGGGAACCTAACATGAAACAACCTTCCTGGGTTGTTTAGTTAAATAACTAGTATGCATAAGTATCCATAAAGCACTTAACACCAACTGCAAGTGCTTAATAAAGAGCTGTTCTTAATATAATAAATACAGAAGTACTTATTATTTTTAAAATAATAAATTTAAAAAAGTTTATAGTTTACAAAACCTGTGTACCTACATTTTTTCATTTAATATTCACATAAATCCTGAGAGGCAGACAATATCCCCATTTTAGAGATGGGGACACCTAAGAAAAGAGAGATGCTAACATAAATGGAATTTCTAGAGGTCTCTCCTGCAGGGAGTGAATACCTAGTTATTGGAGGTTCTAGCAAGACTACCCTGTTACCTATCATGATAGATGTAGCAGATCTCCCAGCTTTTGGAAGAGTGATTGATCTAGGACTAGGTGATTTCTGAGGTCCTGTACTTGGTCACTTATTCACACATACAATATCTTCTTCTTCTTCTTTTTCCCCCAGAAACTGTTCAGAGATCTGGTGGTAGAGCATAAACAAACAAGCAAAAAAAACACACACAAAAAAACACAACACAACACAACAAAACAAAACAAAACAAAACCAAACCAAAATCTCTGCCTAAAAATATACTAACATATAAAATACCATGTATAGGACATATAATATAAAAAATAGAAAAATTAAATATGAAAATATGTAGCCTGATTTTATTTTACACACCCTCCATCTAAGTACTCATTAACTCCCACCCTCCTTTCCAGCCCTCTCCTCAAATGTAAAGTATCAAGAACTAGAACTTTCTGTTTCAGTTTGTGTGCCACGCCCTCAAGGCTTATTGGAAGTTCGAAATCCAGAAAAGTGAGTGGGTGGGGCCTTGGAAGTTCCTGAAGGTGGAAGGAGAGGCGGCGGAACTGTGTTGCGAGGGTTATGTTTCTCAGTGGGAAGCCAATTCTGGGGACCGGTAGTGGAAGCTCTGAAGCTTGGTTCCGGCCACCTCAGCAGGAAGCGGAGACGCCAGCAGCTGGGTCTCCGGGAACTGAGGGAGAGACCTAACTGTGGGAGCGGCGGAGGAAACGCAGAGGACGCCGACGGCCGGGCGGCCCAGTGTGGGGCTCCTGTAACCTGCGAAGATGTTGTTGCTCACGATGATCGCCCGAGTGGCGGACGGGCTCCCGCTGGCCGCCTCGATACAGGAGGACGAACAGGTGAGCTACCGGCTCCCCGCGACCCCAAGTCCCTGCCGGGGGTGGGCTGTGCTCTCAGCACTTGGTTTCTTCTCAGGACGCGGGAGACCCCTGCGACTTCCCGGACACTCCGGTCCTCTCTGAAGTGCTTTTTTTTTACCTTTTGGCTTTGGAGAGACGACCTGTTACAAGAAATCTGCTCTGAAGGCGGAGGTGGATTTTGGGGTTACCTGTTTCTCTTGCAACGAGCAGACAGAACGCCCTGGAGAAGGGAGTGGTTCCGCTGATGGGGGTCCCCCAGTGTTCTGCCATTCTTGAGGGACTTGGTTAAAATCCAGGACGTCTAAGTTTTGGCTGCTGCTAAGGTTGACCGACAGGCCCTGGGTTACACCAGCTCCCGGATTCTTCAGCTCCAGCACGTGATCCTTGCCCTCGCTCGCCGATATCTTTTGAAAGCGGGTGAGGTGGTATTGCCACATGGAGGCACCTGTCTGAAGTTCAGTTCCGCACCTTCTGTCAAGGTTATGCCCAATCCCCGCCTCCTTCTATAGATTCTTACCGTTGGAGGTACAGCCCCTGTGTTATCTTCCTGTTGCGCTTTCTGCCTTCACCTTACTATTTTTCTTTGCCTTTTCATAGAGTTTCCTAGCAGGCAAATGGCAGATCTTAGCCATCTTTGTGTTTGTGATCGCTTTTACAACAGCAGCTTTATGCTCCTAGGTGCTCAAAAAGGTATTGGATTGATTAAAAAAACAACAACAACAACCCAGACATCTTGAAAAGGTGCTCCTTTGTGCCTTAGACGCACAAGGGAAAGTTTTTGGTGTGAAGCAAGTTTCTAGAGCAAGGTTGGGAGGTCTCTGAAGAAGGGAGGCTGAGAATGAACTGTTTATAACGTGTTTAAAGTAACCAATTTCATCCTACGTTCTCATACAACCTAAGTAGCTTTTGGACGAAAACTTCAAGGCTTAAAAATAAGACGAGTTGTAGGAAAAAATGTTTGCACATATCTTTTCTTGGACTTTTTGTTCATATATTCGTGAAAAATAAATTATGAAGCACACCCAATGTGCCAAGCCTGGTGCTAATGCAGGGGATTAGCGCACACAGTCCCCACTTTCCTGGGACTTAGAGTTTGGTGGAAGAGCCAGACAACTAACAAACAAGTATAAAGTAGTGTAACTGCTATCGAAGAGGAAGAAGGTTTGGTTAAACATGGAAAAGGTATGGTCTCTACGTTGAGTCGGGGAGATCAGGAAACTCTTCCCAGAAGAAATGACATTTAAACTGACAGCAGCGTCTGGTCATAAGGGAGGCTTCTCTTTGGTTGTATGCATTTGTAGGTTTGATATAGAAATGTGTTTACTTCCACTTTTAGAAGAACAGTGATACAGATTTTGAAGTTGCAGGTCATGCCAAGTGAAATGTTTCCTGTTCATTCAACAAAACAAGTTTAAACATTGATATAAAATGTGAAAAAAAAATGGAGCATGCCCTGAATTTTAAATTGTGAAATATTTTTCTCTTTTACAATTTGTTAAGATTTTCTAGGAACACTCTGCAGAAGGAGTGGAAGTTTTAAATGGAGCATGATTTGGAAGAGTGGGATGGTGTGGCGAAATAGTCTTTAAAGGATGTGTCGTTTGACTGAGAAATAGTTTTCCCAAAGTGGGGGAAATCTGGTCAGCTTTCCAGCTATTGCATTGAATTTCAATGTGAGCAAAGAATACAAAATGGATTTGAAGTTAAATTAATATTAGTAGGCTCCGACTCTCTACCTTGATACTTTATTGAAAAATTGACATATTATTGTGTGTTTCTTTTTTTTTTTTAATATATTTTTTATTGATTTTTTACAGAGAGGAAGGGAGAGAGATAGAGAGTTAGAAACATTGATGAGAGAGAAACATCGATCAGCTGCCTCCTGCACATCTCCCACTGGGGATGTGCCCGCAACCCAGGTACATGCCCTTGACCGGAATCGAACCTGGGACCTTTCAGTCCGCAGGCCGACGCTCTATCCACTGAGCCAAACCGGTTTTGGCTATTGTGTGTTTCTTAATTTAATTACAGATTAGGTATCCATCTACCAAAATGGGTTGCTTTGTTCAATTGACAATCACAATATTTTTTGTGATTGTAATCCCATGGTGATTTCCTTTAGAAATGTTGACTTTGAATGATAAAGCATTAAACTTTTATTACCTGCAAAAATATCAATTGTAGAGTAATTTTTACCATTACAATAGTATACAGAATATTTATAGAATGCTGACTGCATTCTATACACTGTGCTAAGCCTGTTAAGTGCATGATATCATGCAATTTTAACAGCAATAGATACAGTTATTATCCCCATTTCTAGATAAGGACGCTCTGAAGTTTAGGATGGGTCTCTTGAGTAAAGTCACATAGCTTATAAGTAGCACAACCAAAAATTTTTTTTTCTTTTTTTTAAATCCTCACCCAAGGACATGCTTAGAGAGAGGGGGGGCGGGGGGAAAGAGAGAGAGAGAGAGAGAGAGAGAGACAGAGAGAGAGAGAGAGAAACATGGATTGATTGCCTTCTGTACATTTCCTGACTAGGGATAGAACCACACTCAGGTATGTGCTCTGACTGGGAATTGAACCGGCAATCCTGCAGTGCACAGGGCAGTGCTCAACCAACTGAGCCACTCTGGCTGGGCACAATGCAATTTTTTATCTGGGTTTCGTAACTTTAGCACTGTTGACATTTTGGGATGCAGAATTCTTTGTTGCGGGAAACTGTCCTGTGCATTGTAGGATGTCTAGCAGCATCCATGGTCTCTACACCTTAGATGCCAGTAGCACTGCCTCCGCCCTCCCTCCAGTTATGACAACCGAAAATGTTTGCAGACATTGCCAGATGTCCTGGGGTCGGGGTGGCGGTTGGGGCAAAATCAACCCTGCTTTGGAACCCTGGTTTTTAATCAATATCTGACTCCAGACTAGAGCCTTAGTATCTACCTACTACACTAAATTTACAACCTTGTGCTATGACTTTTTAATAATGTATTTACATCTTAGGAGTCCAGAAATAATTTTTTAAGAAATGGATATCTCTACCAAATACTTTTATAGTAAGTATCTTAATTGTCCAGGTCAAATAATTCAATGTACCTTTTCAAGTATTTACACTGATAAAATAGAACATATTTTAAGTAGTTACTAGGTGCTAGTCTGTGTACAAGCTGCATTATTACTGCAGTTGAATGGTTATTCAGATAATACATAGAGAGTAAAATAAAAAAATATCAGCAGATTGTCTTATGCATTGTTTCCTCTGTGCTTAACCAAAAGCGTAGGTCTAGGGCTGTGGCCGGCAAACCGTGGCTCGCGAGCCACATGCGGCTCTTTGGCCCCTTGAGTGTGGCTCTTCCACAAAATACCGGCTCT